TCACTTCCTGTCCCGGGAAGGGGCCACCTCTGGAAGCCTCATATTCCTGCTCTCAGAAGTGGGCACAGCGGTGGTACCTACCTCAAGGGGCTGTTCGGGGAAGCATGGCAGGTAATTCTTTTAAGAGGCTTAGGACAGGGCCTGGCACACAAGTTTGGCTTATTCAATGTCAGCAATTATTCATTATAAACTATTTTAAACTCCTAGCCAGGTGGAGCCACCAGAGATTTCTGAGGGGGTGGGGGAGGAGCATGGTGAGACAAATGCTGGCCTCCAGGTCTCAGCTGAAGCAAGACCTTTCCTCTTCTTAACCACCCAGCTCCTGGGGCATAAAAAGGGCTCAAAATACATATTGCCTGCATGTACAGTATCTAGACCCTCTGGCACCCTCTTCCTCCCCCACACCTCCCATGCCCCTCGCTCGGTCACCGGGCCTCGCTGTGGGCTCAGGGGCGCAAACCCAGCACGTGCGCTGCCCTGCAGCCGGCGTTACACAATCCGCATTTCTAGGCTGCCAGGAACCCCGTGTCGCAGCAGGCGGAGACCGCAGGTGGCCGGCGGGTACCGGGCAGGGCAGCATCCAGACTCAAGGGTGTCGACTGGGAGGGGGCGCAACGGCGCGGGAGCCGGGGCAGGCTGAGGAAAGAGGAGCTGAAAGGCTGCTGGGGGAAGGGAGTCTTGGCGGAGAGAGATCTTGGGGGCGACGCGAAGGCGGCGCGTGACACGGAGCAAGAGACCGTCTGCTAGGGCGAGCTGCAGTCCTCCAGGACATGGAGGAAACGGGGGTGCAGGAGCCCCCAGATCCTCTCGGCACTGCCAGGGGCGCCTAAGGGCTGGAGTGGGCGAAGGGGGTGGGGAGGCGGAGTAGAACGAGGGTGCAGGTCCCGACCCGTCCTCACTCTGTCCCCCGGCTTCAAGAGGCTGGCAGCCTGGACCTGGGAAGTGGGGCGCCGGGGTTCGAGCATCTCAAACCTCTCCAGGCAGCAGGCGGTGGGGGCAGCGCCCGCGCGGGGAGCGGAGTGGGAAGCCAGGTGCAGGTCCCTGACTCCTTCACCCGGTGCGCCGCTGCCTGGTGGCAACGGCGGAAGGTCACGGGGCCATCGGGGCGCCCCATCCCCGTCGGGGTAACCCCCGCCCGTCCGCCCCCGCTCACCTGACCGGCCTCAGCCGCCTAAGTTCCGCCGCCGGACCCGGACCCCGGCCCTCGGTCCCTAGCCCCGGGCTCGGCCCCGCCGCCGCGCTCTACCCGCGCGGCTCCTAGCTCCGGCGCCCGGTCTGGATGGACTCCTTAAAGGCGCGGCGTGCTGGCCGGCGTCCTCCGACAGAAAAGCCAGCCCCGCCCGCACCCGGCGCCGCGCGCAGTCCTTCGGCGGACGCGCTCGGTTTGGGGGTTCTGGGGCGCTTATCCCCAGCTCCTCCGCGCGCGGGCTCACAGCGTTAAACCCGGAGGGTAAAGTTAGCGTCCCGCACAACCAGATGCAGGCAGCCGGCAACTCTCTCCAAGTACCCGAGAGCCAGGGCGGAAGCATCAGCGCCTCCTGTGTTCCCGGGGGCGGAGCCCGAGCGCCCGGTCCCGCCCCCGCCCCGCTGGGGAGCGCACAGTGGGGCGGGGCGCGGGGAGGGCCTCTGAGCCCGCGGAGCCACCCACAGTTCCACAGCCCCGGCCCGAAGTCCTCCCGGCAGTGTTTCGCTTACTGAACACCTACTGTGTGCCTGGCGCGGCTGGGCATCACACCCGCCAAAGTGATTCAGGCAGGATCTCTGGATCTCTGCCCCGAAAGGCGTCAGAGAGAAAGGGACAGGCAGGGGTTCTCAGGCAGGCAAGGCAGCACTGCCTTACATCTGTTGTCTCACGTAATCCTATGAGGTAGGCACCGGGGTCGGCTTCTTTTCTCAGAAGATACCGAGGCTCAGGGAGGTGCGGGGCTTGCCCTGGATAGTCCAGGAAATGGGAGAAATGGGGGAACACAGTAGGCGCTAGTGCTCCCGCCCTGGCTCTCGGGTGCTTGGAGACAGTTGCCAGCGTCGGGTTTTGTAGGACGTCACCCGGTAAGGACACACCTGGGAATTCTAACTCAGGATCATCTGATTCCACAGCTACATAAGGGAAATGGATATCCGGAAAGGCCTTCGGTCACCTCTGGTTAAACCCCAACTATGGTCGTTTCTTTTAGGGACAGTTAAACCCAGGCTAGTCCTCCCTGTTTTCCGTGTCTTAGTTTAGCTGCCTCTTCCTCCAGGAAGCCTTCAATAAGCCCCCTTTGGGTTCACACTGCACTGTGGGCTTCTTCCATCAAAGCATGTATTCGTCATTTAACAGATACTTGCTGACACCTGTTAGGGGCCGTGGCACCCAGGTCTTCCTGCTCAGTGAGTCCTTGGCCCGCTTGTCTGCCTGCCACTCCAGACACTGAGGAGCCAGGGCCCAGCAGGACTCTCTTGGCCATTTAAATCCCCCGCAAAGGCAGCCTTTGGGCCTCAGCCTGCCAAGGCCTCCACGCTGGTAGAGCCTGGCTGAGTGGGGCAGGTCCTGGGTTTTAAGAATAGGACACGATCAAGAAGTCCCAGAGACAGCCGGGCGCGGTGGCTCAAGCCTGTAATCCCAGCACTTTGGGAGGCCGAGGCGGGTGGATCACGAGGTC